CGCCCAGGGCGCCAAACAGGCTAGGACCGCCACTGAGGCCAAGGATCAGTCATTAAAGAAGTTAAACAACTATTTGTGGCTAAGCCGATGCGAAAAGTACACAACATTATTTCAGTTAACATATATGAGGCAGTCCACCAAGACGCTGGAAAACCACTCTGTCACTCCATAAACCTGTACACGAAGCAAACTAGAAAATAGAAATTTTTTATTGTTAATAAAACAATTTCTTTATTTAATAGTTTGTTTATTTAATTGTTTTATTCCAAATAGAATTGTTTTATATTAAAGTTTTTGAACACATACAAAAACCTCCATAATGCAGTCTGAGCACAGAGCATCATCTACACTAGTTTTACGAGTGGAGAATAGATTTCCGTGGCATCAGTGAGTAGTCTCGCTCCATCCTCCCCACCGAACTATACAATCGTTTATAATTATTATTATAATAATACAATTATTTTCCTAGTCATGGAAAATAACAAATATGTAATCTTATACTACTTAGAAGAGTAGGTTGGGGATTTATAATTGATAACAGTACAACACACTGCTTACTTATGTGAAATCATCATCAATGAACGTTGATAAGCAGCTTTATCGTTTTTGGTGAATTCCACTGCAGGTCCACTCGTTTCTTTTTGCTCTCACTTTGCGGTCTTCATCCTCCTCTCTGTCCTCCTCTGTCAGTCTTTGTGCCGTCACCCAAAAGTTAAATGTTACAGTGAATAAAAGGCATAAAGTGATCCACATCAGTTTATACCAGTATTCAAAGTGAAAGCACCGACAGCTAACATCGGATTGGATATCTGTTCATTTTCGTTCAGAAAGAAACTGCAGCGAAGTATTTATTTTCCGTTAACATGATGCTTTATTAACATCAGACAACAGATTTAGACATCAGACAGTAAATTACAAAAAATGATGTTTAATCAACATCAACGTGATTTTTTATACAATATTATGTGAATGAAACACTTTAGATTTATTAGTGAAAAATAAAAAGAGGGGAACGAGGGAAACTGTTAGCTGACCACATCATGTACGAGCAATGTAGGAAATACTGAAGCACATTCCTTCAGTTGATAAACTGCATTTTATTTTGCATGCACTGCTTAACAAAATGATTCCGTTTTCAAACTAAATCGTCCTCAGCTGCTCTATTAAATCTGACACGGGTCTGGATGAACCCGGTACCAAAACACCCGGAGCCTCTGCCGGCTGCTGCTCGAGTTTCACGAGCAGTTCCTCAGTTTTCCACCCGTCCACTCAGGTCACATGTCGAGACATTTTCTCACACACCTCTTCATGGCCCAAAGCTTCCTGAACCAGATCAAACTGAACTCCCGATAAAGCAAAACCCCGTTACTCTACTTGGGGCAGTTTCCATTAATTCGAACCGCTCTGCAGCGGTCTAGTTTAGGTCAGCGGTCCTGCAGCTCAAGGTGGGGGAGCCACTCGTACCTGTGGCGGCTCTCCTCGCAGAACCTGGCGACCTGCTGAAGAGCCTCGCACTGCAGAATCTGTTCAGAAGTGTTCTGAAAAACAAAGCGTGGTTGAATATTTATGTTAACCAGAGTTTATCTAGAAAATAAGTCAGAATCCACACTGGCAAAGTTTGACAAATGCAGTGGAGCAGAATGAGGCGTTTGGACTTACAGTGACCAAGATGCAATGCAGGTCCCGGGATTCGTTTCTGTTGCTGGTTTCCTCCAGCAGCTGAGCGAGCCGCCTCATTCCCGTCACTCGCAGGATGTCGAGGTAATTGTCGTAGCAGAAAGCCTGCAGCAGTTTGAAGTGAATCTGCAGCGCAGCGTCATCTTCATCCTCCTCATCAAAGGCCAGCACACACAGCACCGCGCCATCCGGGTATCTGCGGGCAGGACAGGAGAATAATAAACCCCACATAGCGTCAAAATCACTATTATCCTGACAGTACAAATGAATTGCTTTACATTAATACTTACTCATTCAGGAATTTTGCAGACTCATAAACTCCCACAGTCAGACAGTTCTGATGATGAGCTGTGACCAATACATGTTCCAAAGTCTGGCTGATGGTCTCCATACTACAGAAACACGAAGGAAAGTAAGTATGATACAGGCTCTGAACAAGAGCATAAAAGCGTATCAAAGTGCACTGTAGCCGGATTCAAAATGTAACTTGTGTCAGTGCGTAATTACGCAGCAAACATGCCTATCTTACCTTTTACCGTGTGCTGCTGGATTCCAGAGAAGAAGAAGAAGTAGTCGGAGACAAGTCGGTGGTCAGTGAGCAATGATGAATCTCTGTCTCTTCAGGTCAAAACTTTTATACCTGCTCTGGGACGGCACACCTTACCCCTCCCTCTGTAACTGGCCAGCTGTACCCCCCCGTCCCATTTCAAACTTCGCGCCCCCTGTCTCCCTCCTCTTCTTTCTGCACACAAGTTTGTTTGCTTAAACCCTTCTCGTTAAAAAATAATAATTAAACTGTGGAGAAGAGGATTTTAGGGATAACCTCTCAGGATCAGCCTGTATATTAGCTTTGTTTTTATGGATGAGCCACTGCAATGTGAAAGAAGAGGCCCGCAAAAAATATTCATAATAATATTCTGATATCTATATTTTAAATGTATGTGCAGCGTCTCTGTTCCTGTCTTACGCATGCTTCACATCACGCATGTTTGACAAACATGACTGGAAGCGCGCTCTCCCTCTTTGATCAAGTCACGTAGACCTGGAATGGACCTTTTGGAGATGTGCACAGTGAGTGGGTTTAAACGGGTTCTGCTCTTTTGTTTGGTGAATTCGAAAAGTGGACGCGTGAAGGGCTCGCAGAGATTAAGGTGAAAACAATGCAGAACGCTGTGAGCTGCAGCTGATAGCTGGTTGAAAGTGCATTGATTGGTTTTTTAGGCTGATTCACTCAAACATTAAGGACATCATGTGTTCACTGTCCCTGCAGGGATAAGACCCCCGGAAATATCTGGGCTCTGTACTCAATCACTGGACTGTGTCTAAATGCATTTAGATAAAGTTTATGATTTCAAATCTCTGCAGTTTCCTTCACTTGTAAGTTTTTATCTTCATATTCAGTGTTTATTACATTAATACGTTAATATCAGATCAATTAAGTGAAGGAATCCAGTTTACACCAGATGTGGGGCATTTTATGTTAGTTTATGTCCGTTTTTGAGTGATTTTAGGGTTTTCTGAAAACATCTCCAGGAAAGGTTTCAGTTGAATCGTGGCTATTGTGTTTAATGAATGAGAACAATAAACTTGATGAAGCCCCTAATGAGGTGTCGTGCGGAAAACACCTGATTGATTAAAGACTTAATCAGTGGCGCAGGGTCGCTGTTACAGGCATGCACCGGAAATGCGTCCACAGTCTTTTTCTTTGTTGTTGTTCAGTTTCAGTTTGATGGTTTATGAGGGGATGGGTGCGGGTGGGTGCGGGTGGGGGTCTGTTTCTGCCGGCAGAGAAAATGTGTGATAGTTAGACAAAGGTGACAAAACAACTTAGAGCCAATAAAAATTCCAAGATCACATGAAAACTAAAACTAAAGATTTTTTTAATTTATTTTTTATTTTAGTTACATTTGCAAGCAGAGAATAGCCCGAAGTCTAGTTTGGTTTAATTATTTTTTGTCATCTAGCCTTGAAACATTTTGTTGTACAGCACTGACAATGAAATGAAACAGCAGAGATGATCAACTTTATTTGGCTTTAGTTTTATTTTAATTTTTGTTTTTCTCTTATTTTTCATTCAGACAGCCCCAGGAGGCTTTGGTGCATCATTTTCATTGGCAGAGATATGACTTTGTGCAGTTTTCGCTTTAAGAGGCAGTAAATCTCTCTTTTTCAAAATAGTAAATTGAAAGTCTGAAACTGAGGATTTCACCTTTACCCCATTTTTTTTCTCTTTGCAACTTTAGAACGTGGATTCAGAAACAACGAACACGCAGAAGAATTAAATCCTCCACTTTTATTTACAGCAACGACAACAACAACAACAACTGCGGCTTGGGTAGCGATAAGAACAAACGTAATAACAAGAAAGGCAATGCACCGACGAGTCCCTCCGTCGGCTTTCTTCGCAGAAGCTGCTGAGGATCTGCAGGGCCTGGCGTGGAAGCGGCTTCGCTGGAGGGACCTGCGAAACACAGCGAGGAAGGACGTGAAACGCCCGGAAAACACATCACTTTGCTTCTTATTCGAAGTAGCTTATCATGAAGCCAAGTGTACAAATTACAACGATTTTAATAGAGATAATTGGCAAACAGGAGCCATTTGTTAACTGTGCAGCAGCACAAATGGAAATTTGGCTTACAGTGACCAGAATGCAGTGCAGGTCCCGCGAGGCCTCGTTGCCGCTGATGTCATCCATGGTCACCAGCTCTGCCAGCCGTCTCATGTCTGTCGAACACATGATGCGGACGTTCTTCTTGTAGCACATATCCTTTAGCTGGATTAGATTCATCTGTAACATAATGTCACCCTCTGTTTCCTTTTCGCTGGCAAGGACGCACAGGACGACTCTGTGCGGGTTTCTGCGGGAAACAGGACGACATTAATGTCACCATTGCCACGTTGTTCCACTATTAGATCAAGTACTGCATTTGAACTGTATTTAAACGTAAAAATTAAAATACTTACGCTTTCATGTATTTGTAGGACTCAATTACACCGATTCTGAGGCAGTTCTGGTGATAAGCTTCCACGAGCAGCTCCTCCAAAGCCTGACCCACCATCTTCATCCTACAGATACGCAGACAGTTAGAAATGCGCACAAACTAAGACAAAACAGCCCCAAAGTCAACAAATAACCCCAAACAATGAGAATACACCCTAACCTATGACTCAACATTAGAAACTGCTATAAAAACCAAAACTGGGATGAAATTTGAGCAAACTTACAATGTATCGTGTAGCAGGGGTGCGTAATTACGCACCACTGGAGAGATACATTGTAAGTTTTAATTTGGAAAATTGGGACTTACAATATCAAGTTAGCGTAAAGAAATATAGTGATTAAAGAAATCAAATCATTTTTCAGACACCGCAGAATGTTGCACTGAACTGAAACACAAGCAAACTGTGGGAAAAAACCCGTGAAGTCTTACATCCACTGTTCGGTCATCTTGGATGTAGCAAAAGTGCAGAGATCTAAAGCAGGAGCAGAGTGTCTTTAAGAGAAACTGAGCCCAGTGGATCAGGTCCTTCATTTATGCTCCTGTGGGGTGGGTTGGCCCACCTGAACACAGCAGGCGGTTTGAAGGTAGACAGTTTTAAATGGTTTTAAAAATGTATTTGCAAGTCACGCGTGGAAATGCTTGGTACAAAATTCAAAACTCCGAAACAGAAAATGTCTTTTTTAAACGGCAAGAAATGTATAATTACAATTTTTGGATGGGAGGTTCTGACACTATTATACATCTCGCACCTTTTAATAATCATGCGCAATTACCTGACCTTACTTCGACCGAAGCAAACTTTTAGACCAGGCCACCCAGCCCACGATTATTCTAATATTTATCGACAATTGGAAATTAAAAAGTAAAATAAAAACTTTAATTGAGGTCAAACAAACATGTCTGTGCGTCCCCCTCACCCCCTCCTCTCCTACAGACTTGAACTGAACTTCGTACACAGCAACACCAGGTCTCGGACCCCCACCCCCACCCTGCCGGTGGTGGGGTGTAACTGGGACAGAGCGTTGTCTCTGCAGATCTCATTTCCCCTAAATAATTTAGACACTGCCTTAATATGAAGTGTGCAGGAACTTAAACTCGAAATTGAAGATCAGCAGTTTCCGTAAATGCGTGTTGATTATTCTTTGGAATTGTGAGATAAACATATGTATAATTAAATAAAAGAGTCTTTAATTTCTTTCTCTTTTGTTGTGCATTTGTTTGACTTCCTGAGGTTTTTAAATGGGTTGGGCTTTTCTGGATTCAACTTCATGATTTACAATGATATAAATAAAACACGCAAGAGAAAGAAAAAAACGGTTATGTTTAACACCATGTTTAAACATTTCCGTTGGGAGAATTAATCAAATCAAGTCTTACAAGTATCCACATTTAGACTTCCAGAGAGCAATGTAAAACACTTCCGTTTTAAAATAAAACATTTTATTTGTCATATTTCTAAAAAAACAAAACAAAAAACAAACAACTCGCAATTTTTAGAATGCACGTAAAATAAAAGTTTGTTGCTCTTATTTATTTTAATTTTTCTTAACCAGTTAATTGCTACTGGGGTCAGAAAGATCCTTCTACAGGTTAAATAATAATTTATACATTACATTTGTTATAGAAATTCT